TGTTGTATGTCCGAAGACTTACCGTTATTCCACCAGGGGACCTCAATTAGGATTTTGTTTTTTCAAATTGTGCACCTTCTTTATAACAGAGTCCGTAAAACAAATGCTTTTATATAATCTGAAACGGAAGTCTCTTAAACTTAATTGCTGTATCAAGACACACGGTAGTGTGTCGTGCGTCCCAAACAACTTCCTGCAGGACACACCGTGTGTAATTAACAGGAGTGATAGTTTAGCGATTTTCCGCCTTCTCTATGTCGGACTGTGGTAATCCAAACTACCACTATTTTCAATGGATGTGCTCTACTGGACTCTTACTTCATATACCAAACTTCAAGGCAATACATTAAGAAATACCTGAGATATAACATGTCCAATTTTGATTGAGTTTCTTCCTATTTTTTCTTCGCACCAAAATTACGGAACTTTATTTGATAGAAAAACATACTTAACTTTTATGTATTTTTTCAAATATGGTACACTTATATATCTTTTCAAGCTCCAACTAGGAGTCTCATTTGATATAAATATGTCACATATGCATATTTATTCAACAAAAACTGCTCAAATTTAAGGAAAGTTTTTGTGCATGCTATCGGTCTAACTATAGTTTCACCTAAGAGTTAAATTGGACATCTTTTTTAGTTTTTGTCATTTGGTTTAAAGACGGGTGATTTAGAGCAGCAAAACTATAAGGTGAAAGTACTTGCAGATACATAAATATTGGTTAGGCCAGCAAACTAGGTAAGCAGTTTCTAGCTAAAATTTTCAAACGAATCATACCGTCCGGTTATTGCTGATTATTCATTGACACCAATTCAGCACAAATTTACTAAATGTTAATTAAAGAGCATTTAGAGTCACGTGATATTAGCATAGGGAATTAGCATGAATAATGATGTTCGATACGACTGTGCCAATTTTATTGGGTGATGACAAGAAACTTTTAATCTAAATTCCATGGTGTTACTATAAAGGAAGCTATATTTTAAAGAATCTCGTTGGTTCTTTAAAGTAAATGTCTGTTTCGAATAATAGGATTGCAATCCTAAAGCTATTGTGGGTTACTATCTAGTGTCATTTTTTTATTTGTTATTGTTTTTTGGTGTGTATCGACGAAAAAGTCATATCTAATCAAAAACTCCTTAGGTGTGCAAAAAAGGTGCGGCCAAAAAAGGATTGAGTGTGCGACTTAAAAGAGTGAAATCAAAATTGGCTGCCAAACTGGTAGTTACACTTATAGCATTGATAAGAATTTTACAGCAAATATTCATTCATTGGTTAGCTAGGCCGTGTATTATGTTTTACTCACCATCATGCTCCAAGTTGAACAAAAAACGCGGCCTGACTAACTAATGTTGTAAACTTCTTATCAATACTATAAGTGTAACTACTAGTTTTGGCGCCAATTTTAATTTCATTCCTATAAGTCGCATGCTCAATCTTTTTTTGGCCGTATCTTTTTTTTCACACCTAAGGTGTTTTTGATTAGATAATATTTGCCAGAAGTATGTGTTACTTTATAATTAAGCCAAATAGAAAGAATCTGTTAATTTTCATTGTTATCGATTACTCATATTCTCACCATATGTAATACAAAAATAGCTTATCAATTTTTTTGTAAGTTTATTATTAATATCTGTTCATGATATTCCCCAGATAGCATGCAAACGTTACAGTAACGTTTGCTGAAATGTTACAAAAACGTTTTATGTTTACGTTCAACCAACGTAATTTTGCCAATTAATTTAACGTTGATTACATGTTCACAAGCAAAATTTTATGTAACGGAACGTTATACAATACACGTACACGCATTTACTGTTACCATACTGATATGCATATATATATATATATATATATTGTATTTTACAATTGATGTAAATATATATATATATAATTTTCCTGGTCTTTTTAACTATTATTAAGTTTTGCCTGCATCCTAAACAACAGTAAAATAAAAATAATTAGCTGCTTATTTTCTTTCAAAGTGGTTCCGCTAAACAGTTTATACAAATTATGCTATCAACTAAAATGAAAAAGTTAAGTAGTCGTGCTAAAGTTGTTATTTATAAAACCTCAACGACGTAAATTATTAAAACATTTTTTTCTTGGTAGATTGAGCTATTCATTGAGCCCTATAATTCGGATTTAGACGATATAATTACTGTTCCTCATCAATACGATACCCTATAACCCGAGCGAAACTTTCGAAAGTGGTATGGTTATAGGATATCGTGTTTTTGTGTTAAATTGATTTCCTAAACCTACGTGTTTTCCTAACATTATGTTCTTCATTAATGACTGTGATTCATTTTAACATTATGATGTCGTATATTTAACAACTTAATAGAGGTTAAAATATTTAGCGTTTAAACTACCGTGGATGACTCTTTAACCATTTAATTTATAAGTTGTTATGAACAAGTTCATACAAGTTACACAACCTTCGTAAATTGGAAAATTATAAAATAGATTGTCTTCTTAAAAATTATTTTAAAGCTTGATCCTAAAGTAAAACATAGCAATAAAATAATTAACAAAGACGGCCACTACGTGGTTAGAACCCGAACTTTCAAAGTACAGCTTAATAAAACTGCAAGAAAGAGACCAAGGTAAGCGTTACGACCAAACGACCCTGACAGTTACAACTTTAATTTTGCGTGATATATTAAAACCTATGGTTAGGGTAAAAATAATTTCAAATGATATTTGTCACAGCAATGTAAATATTTCTTATACTGTTTTTAACTAACCAATCGTATGGTTCTATAACTTATCTTCGTGTTAAAGAAAATGTTCATGATACACGAACCTAAAAGTACCCATGAAGTTTTTCATCGAGTAAAAATGTATATAATCAGTTGAATAAATATAACACGGTAAAACTATTTCTTATTAGACGAATAAGTAAACTTTTGCTTTTACTATATTTCGTTTCCAGTACCACACCCACAGACATGTGAGTATTTTGTACGACATTCAAGTTATTTAGCTGATTGTTCTTTAGAAAGTGCTATTAGCTAAACAAGTGTACTTTCTGCACAAAAACTCAACAGTCTAAAGCTGAAAAATAGAATTTAAAAAAATACGAAAAAAATCTCATTAATTTATTATTTAAATATTCTGATCCTGCGCAAGCTCAACACTTTATAATGCCAAAGTTCAGGGTTCGATCCATGCAGAGGATGGAGCCCAATTAGCCCATTTTACAGCTTTGTGCTGCGCTGAACAACAAATAAAGAAGAATATGGAAAAACATTGAATACCATCCTTCTTATATGATGGTAATTTTGGCATGAAACAATCTTAAAGCTAAGTTTTTCACAAAGTTCGTGGTCAAGAAAATCATTGAGTTGATCTAGTTTCAAGTTAGTCCTCTTTGTAATTCTTAAAGTTAGGTGAAAAACATTGAATACCATCCTTCTTATATGATGGTAATTTTGGCATGAAACAATCTTAAAGCTAAGTTTTTCACAAAATACGTGGTCAAGAAAATCATTGAGTTGATCTTGTTTCAAGTTAGTCCTCTTTGTAATTCTTAAAGTTAGGTGAAAAACATTGCTACATGAGATCTGATCGGGGCAATATCCTTTACTGGCTTTACAAGTTATATCTAGAGGTCATAACTTTACCAACGTGAAATGGGAATAATCACTCACGCGGTGGTTCAACTAGGGTGGATAAATGCGAAGTTTTGTTTGAAATAGAAATCACTCCCTTAGTCTGATTCCGCATTTCATCCGAGAGTGACCTGTTTCACCATGTGAAGAAGAGCACCATGTTTTTGTCTTTTAAGTATTCAATAAAGATTTTATTCTTAGTGTATTATAGAACATACATAACACCAGTCGTAGAATACGCCTGTATAACATGGATAAATGTATCAAAAACACACACATCAACAAACTACAGCAAATACAAAACTATTTTATCGAAAGCATTTAGAGTCCTACGACCAACAAACTCAGAATTTCTACACAACTATTCAAACATGCCAACACTATCAGATAGACTCCTGGGTAACTCGCTTCAATATTATAAGAAAAATATTAATAAAAATGAACTGATGAGCAAACTAGAGAGTTACATAATACATGATGAACCAAGCCCTAAGTACCTCTACCCTCGACACATCATAAATAATAATCTTACAAGTCAAACAATGTTAGGCTAACTAAATCCTAGACACAAACATAGCTCTATTTTAAAAGAGTTTTGTATGTAAAAATAGGATTATGTGTATGTGTATATGACTGCTAAGTGGAACCGTATTGTGAACACGGACTAATAGTGCGATCATAAATACGTGAAGCTACTGAAAATATACGAGTTAATATTATCCCACGAATTGGACATAGCACGAAAAGAGTATGTTAATTTAAACTGCGGACAATAGACAAAATGTAACATACTGTGAGTAATGCAACAACAACGCAACAAGGGTTATTACCTAGGATTCAGTAAGAATGCAAACAAAATAACAATTCCTGAGAGGGAGGAAGAGGTCAACGCTGAATCTGCCCCTCCCTGGTCCAAACCATAGACCGAAGCCCAATGAAGATGAAGAGAAAAAAAAAACCTTAGTGTATTATACTTTGTGTTCAGTCCACTTGTTTCTTGACTTAAACTCAGCCAGTATACGTTTAGCACTGTTCCATTATACCTTGTCTCGTCGAACCTCCTGTTCAGCGGACTTATCCGATATAGCTCTGAAGTTGATTCATTTTACCTGTATATACCAACAAGACTTTTCTTCCCCTAAACAGGCTGATTGGGATACGACCGACATAGTAGTGTTTGAGAAGCTATTTATAATGGCATATTGTTTTGGTAACAACTATTTATATTGCGAAATTAATTAAGTTAATATGTAATTTTCCATCAATTTTATTCATTTCACAAGACATTAAAATTAGGGTAAGGATTATTTAGCATTATATTATTTATTTATTTTAACACCACACATTACTTTCTTGAATTAATCTACTCATTATCAGAAAAACTGGTGAACCAGCAAATTAATCTTCTTGATCCGGGAGCGGGTCAAGCGATCACAGCGACAGCGGAAGAAGACTATTACAGTAATTATTAGTAAGAACTTCTGAGTAAAAGTGAAGAAGTGTATAAATATACAATACTTTTGTAGTAAATTTCTCACAACATTTTGATGCTGCAGTTTGTTGCTTATTTGTTTTTATTACTTTAACGACTTTCGAAAGTAATTTTTTATCACAATTTATTCATTTAAGTACATGTCTATATATATATGCGTCTTTATGAACTGAGGGTTTTTCAATAAAATTTTAGAATTTTTCTGGCTTATCTTTTTGTTCGATTATGGTATAATCAGGGATACCTGTATACACAAAGATTTTATTTCCGTTTCCAAAGTCACTTTACAACTATGATGGTGTTTTATATGAAAAATTTGCAATTTAGATTCTTGTCATGATACACAGAAGAAGTAGAAAGGAAAAAAAATGGCCAGTTTATAGATCATAAGTTGCTTCTGCAAACCATACCAAGATGCTCCGTATTTATTTTTTGCCGACGCTGCATTGTAGAAATGTGTCCAGTCTGTCCACTCGAGAACAGTATACTAATGATATATGAGCCTCTTCCATTACTGTTTTAACGAATTATAATGAAATTCATAAACTGTACTTTTCCTTCTTTCATTTACAAGTAATAAAAATTGATACATGCACGAAAGACCAATAGTTGTGAGCACGCGCGTGTGCGCGAATTTGAAGAGAATAAGGCAATACGATGTGTTATCGACAAGGTACAAGCATTAGAAATGACCTCAATTATCTTTGATTTCAGTCATCACATGTATCACAATGGTATCATTCATACTTGGTGTATTGTATAAAAACTAAAGACTGCATGTTTATATTATTTAGAACATTCATATTATAATTACTATCTAAACCTTTGGTTAGTAGTTTAAAAAATAACTAAAATGTGTACGAACCTTTCTCAAATTACAAATACATTTTCCAGAAGTAGAAACAGGGAATATAAAAAATATCACGGCTAAGACGTAAGCCAAATGTCATATTTCTAAATTCCAGATTTCCAAACTATTCATTACCGTTGTAGAAATCATTACTCAAAATTTAACTATTTATTATTAATATCGTTATAATTGTTATATTCACTAAAACATATGAAACAGTGATCTCTTTCACACATGTTCACGTTAATAGTTACTTGAGGGTGAATCTTCTGTGCTTTTAAACACTACAATATGTATCATTATGCAAGTGATCATTTAGTTCCCATCTCAGTCGACCATAATGTAATTTGATTTAAGCACTTGAGCACACAAAGTAACTACACAGACTTTCGCAATGTCTATCAGTTCATCTTCTAAAATTTCCGAGAAACACGTGCTCTATTCATTTGGACTTTGTAAGATTTCTCTCAGCTTTATCTCCCATTTCTTGTTTGTCTCCTCACCCACCAACTAAACAGATGCGGGTAAACATGTTCAAAATGCTTCAACTTAAGGTATCACTGACCCTTAAAACTAGGCAAATTTACATGCTGGGGAAATACTGCTAAACACTTCTTGTAACCTTCAAGTTGAGCACTAAACAAAACTATGAAGTCGCAATATCTAAAAGTACAATTTTAGTCACATGCAAAATCAATTCGTAAAGTAAAGGTCTCTTCCGAATAATAAGGTTGCGATCCTAAAGATAATATGGGTTACTATCGAGTGTCACTTTCTTATTTGCTGTGGTTTGTTGGTGTGTATTGACAAAGTCACGATATCTGATCAAAAACAACTTAGATGTGAAAAAAAAGAAGTGGCCAAAAAAAAAAAAGATTGACTTAAACGAATTAAATCAAAATTGACGGCCAAACTGGTAGCTGAATTTATTGCATTGATAAGAACTTTACAGCAACTATTCATTTATTACTTAGCCAGGCCGCATTTTTCGTTCAACTTGGGGCATGGCGGTGGGCAAAACAAAATACGCGGCCTAGCTGAATAATGAATGAATATATACTGTAAAATTCATATCAATCTTGTAAGTGTAGCTACCTGTCCGACGTCAATCTTGATTTAATTCCTTCAAGTCGTACGTTCAATCCTTGTTATGGCAGTACCTTTTTTTTCACACTTAAGGTGTTTTGATTAGCTAAAATATAATACGAGATAAACCTTTTGCATTATATATAAAATAGTACACTTTGAAATTCACCATACAAACTATATATATATATTTAGATTTAATTTTCTGAGGATAAAAGTAACAAAACAAACATCTAACATCAGAGCACAAATCAATGCCCTTAGATTTACATTCATGAAAAAAAGGCAGCAACAAAACAAACATACAACACTAGAGCACAAACCTAGTGTTGAATGCTTGCTTTGTGGTTACATTTTTGTTTTGTTTGTTGTTGCTATTTTTTCCCAGAAAATTTAACTTTACTATTGTGTCGTCAAGAAATTAATGTCGCGTTTTGTAACACTTTCATTAACCCCCCCCCCCAAAAAAAAATTT